TAAGTGTCTTTCAATACCTGTTGCTGTCAGGAATCTAGTGTAACAATGAGGACAGGCATGCAGGGGAGGTGATGGTGCGTGATCATCAACCTCTACAGCACGAGTGGTATCCGGATCAGGCCTCGTCTGCACGGCTGGAGCAGCCGTTGGTGGTCCTGGCATGGCCGGTGACGGCGGTGGAAGGGATATCGAACTAGGCGCGTCTGTGGCTGTCCTAGATGCTGTCTGCATGACTGGCATGATGGGGAAGTGTTCGGGTTAAAAGGTGTGCCCCATTATGATCGAAATCTGAAAGAGGACCCCATATTCATGAATTCGGGTGTCACGGCATTCACTATCGCAGAAACTGCATCTGCCTCGGCCACCACCTATATTTGCCATGCCCTGAACATGCTCTCGAAAATGCTCTGCCAGGGAAACCAAGTCTGGATGGCATTCCGTGAAGTGCTTTCGAATCGAGCGAGCGGCAATCCGCATGTGACAAAAAGTGCAGTGATTGGCTATCTCATTGATCAATGCCGTATTCAACAAAAGACCTGGGACAGACTTGTGGCGCAAATGCATTTTGAGATCTGGTCGGTTGATGATCGGCACGATCGACTCCTGAGCAGGATCAAAGCGAGGACACGTATATTTATTGATATGGTCACGAAGTCTGTAGAAATCAACGAAGATATGTGAACAGTGCGCGCAGATCGAACGGCCTTGCCATGCATCCCGTAAAGGCTGAAAGATGTCATCAGGCTCACACGGAACTTGATGGGCTTGTCTCATGTGTCGTTTCAGTGTTCCGGCCTACTGGAAGATTCTGTGGCATTCCGGACAGGCCATTGCCTGAGCGCTGCCCATGTTGGAGTGGTGATCAGGTGGAGGGATTAAGGGTTCAATCCAGAGATCTGGGACGAACATACACACATCCGGCATTTCGCTGTCCATGGCTTCAAGGCGGAGGAGTTCCCGTCTGGTCAACAGGGCCGCTTGAATCCTCCGTCTATGAGTAAGGACGGTTGTCCATGGAGGTGGTTCACGAATGCGTGCAAAGAAGTGTGCAGTGGATTCATGTGTGAGACACACTGGTGAATGTGTAATCGTCCTGTGATGAGTATTGATCATGCTGATTAGTTGTCGAAATCCCTTCTGAATTAAACCCATTTCATGAATGCCATATTGAGCAGTGGCCAGAACACATTGCTTGTATAACTTGAGTTTAGTGTGGATGGGGTGGACATCCCTCACAAGCCAGGACCTGAGATTGCGGAAGCACCATTTGGCGGCTGTGATTCTACGTGCAGTGGTATCAACATCCCATGCTCTATATCCTATGATGACACCAAGATACGCTGTTTTTGACACAAGCGGCAGCTGCCAGCGGCGTTCTGGCAGAGTCAGCACCGGGCCAGTGTCAGGTCGACTGACCCAATGTCGAAGGAAGGCAGGAGCCTCTTTCCCTTGGAGTCGAAGCATGGCAACTGACTTGTGGAGATTAATATTAAACCCGAAGGCTTGAAGGGTCATCAACACGTGTTGAAGGTCAATGAGTGCTTCAAGGGCTTGGGCTGTCGATCGAATTATCCACCGGAGGTGGATATCGTCGGCGTAGACAACCATGTGCTCGTGGAGCCATATGGGGGAGTATTTGGTCTGAAGATCAACTAGCACTAGGCTCATGGTCAGCGTCCACAAGAAGGGGGCATCTTTGGCCCCCTGTTTGATTCCCCGATGTGCCTGGATCTGTCCTATCAATTGCTTGAAGGGAATACAATACTTGTGGGGAGTGAGCCACGAATGCACAAGTTGAAAGAGGTCAGAATCCAAATGGTACAACTGTAAGGCTCGAAGCACTAAGGTTCGATTGACCGTGTCAAATGCCTTTTCCATATCTAAAGAAACCTGGAGACCTCCAAGCAGCTTAGGCATATTACCAATCTTGACTTCCTTGCACATCATGCGTGCAATTCTACAATGCTCTGCTACAATGAGAAGGCATTCACGAGTTCCTCTGTGAGGCAAGTACGCATAGAGCGGAAGACATCTAAGTCTGTCGAACGTCTGTTGAACGATCAGCTTGCATTGGATTCCGGCAAGTATCTTGTTGATCGGATGCTGTAGGCAGATTGGTCTGAGTGCCTGGGGTTTGCGGATTTATTGGGTTTAGTAAGAAGGTATATCCATCCTGTTTCCGATGATCCGGAAGGCAGATGGGGTTTTGAAGCCAAATCTGATGAATCTGGTGCATTAATGGATCCATTAATGGATCAATAAGATCATGCGCGAAATGCTTCTAGATTAGAGCAGGCAACCCGTCTGGCGCCAGGGCCTTTGTACTAGGCAGGTGCAAAAGCTCAGTGAGCACATTTTGGCGGTCGAAGGGGAGTCTGGTTAGGGGTGCCAGGTCTGGTGCATCAAACTTCGGGTCAGCAAACAGATTGGGGTAGTACTATTCAATTGAAATCAATTCCTGTTGCGGTGCCAAAGGCATGCCATGAGGATCAAAGAGCTGTATACGTCTCGTGCGTTGTTTCGGACACAAGAGCCTGATCTTCCTATACCAATCAAAAATGCGTCCATGAAGGGCAAGATCAGCACCCTCAGTCAGGATTGTGTGCAATTTATCTCTTTTGTTCTGTCTACTCTGTTTACGAATAGCTTTGTGGAGAGTTCTGAAGGTGGTGACATAAGCCCAGCACTCAAAGAGATCGCGAGTGGTGCGTCCTCGTACGGCCATGGCCTGTTTGCGGGCATTCCACATCCTGGCAGCCAGGGAGGGGATGTGCGGAGCATGAGATACCCGCTATTTCCGTTTGGGAAAGAAAAGAAAACATATGGTTCGTAGTTCTTGTTCCAAAGCGAGCATGGAGACCTCAGTCGGTTGTTGAGGAGAATGCCTGGCGATACACTGACGAATCTGGACCTCGAACAGCTGCCAATGTGGAGTGTGCTCTAGTCTAGCCGTGCGTAGGGCGAATCGATCAATGCTATTTAGAGGGAACACTGGTTTCCGAGGCGCAAACCACCTGGGCAGGACAAAGAACAATGGATGATGGTGAGGTCCAAGACAACCAAGTTGTGCATAAAATTCCTATCAATGGTGGGTTGCATGCGTCGAAATTGAATCTGATGCTGTCGAACAAAAACATAATCAATACGAGAATGGTGTGAACCATGTTCGAAGGTCGATGCATATTGTTGTTTGCAGTGCAAAGCAATCAGGTCCTGTGCTCTCGTCAATTGCTGTAGAAGGTCACGATCAATATGAGTGCTAGAGGATGCACGGGCATCATGGCTATTGATGTGCGGCGGATCGAACCCGAGGGTGGTGTTGAAATCTCCCATCAATACCATCTGGTGCTGCTACGGAACATGATTTAAAAGTTGTCGCAAACTAGTCCAAATCTTGGCACGATTGTCGAGAAGCTGATCTCGGCCTTTGATAGCATTCCATGCATGTTAATAAACAACGATGAAATCATATGTGCAGTCCAGAAAAAGGCGAATCTGTAGAAGTCGGCCATCTGAATGAGAGACCGTGGCTATCTATTCAGATCTGGCCAGGATACTTCGGATAAGCACCAGAATGGCTGCATGCTTCGTCGAGAAGTGGATACAATGCCAACCTTAAGACGTCCAGGTGGCGTTAAAATTCCATCCAATTTCCTACAATGTTACGACGTGTAGAGGCTAAGAATTGCACCAATACAACAGCTCGTCATGCACCAAATTTTTCGATGCATTCCAAGTCATGCATCGAATACCAAGAGTTGTTTGGGGTGTCCGCTGCTTCATCTTTTCATGTAAGTGGTAGCGATAAGCTTCTCTAAAGCGCCAAGGCACATCTGTAACAAAAAGGTAGCCTTTGCGGTAAGGCGTATAGCCATATTACACGACACGAAAACAAGCTCTTTTATATAATTTTTTAATCTAAACGATGCGCGGCCAAACAACAAGGCCGTAACCTCCTTTAGCCCATACCTCTAATGACTTCGTAAAAAAACACTACTATGGAGTAAAAGGTAAAGTTCCATCATCTAAGAATTTAAGACCAAACTATCCAGAACATAAAGCGAAAAATATGCCCTAAAAATTTACAAAGAAATAATTACCGAAACTCGAGGCTCAAATAACGCTTCACATATCAATACTAAATCATTAAATACGACATTATTTCAATAATCCATATACTAATATTCCTATCTATAATAATAAAAAAAAAACATATTTATAATATATAATTAAAATATATTTAAACCAACATATTTAAATATATTATTAAATATAATATATTCGAAATATATTATATTTACCAAATATATTAAATATAAATATCTAAAAATATATAAACATAATATATATTTATATATGTTTAATTCATTCTTAATATCAATAAATATATATTTAAATAGAAAAAATATCAATTATAATTTATATATCTTAATTTTTGGTTTATGAATATATTATTTGGTCAATTATATTATCGTTTTAGAATGCCTCCACAACCTAAATTCGTTAGAATTAGATTATCGATCATAGGTTACTATTATTTTTGATCCTATCATTTTATATGGTTTGGTGCAATTTCTCAGCACAAATGTACTCTCCCTACTAAGGCGATTTATGCTTGTTCCGTGGCTCATAAAAACGAATATTGAAAAACTCACAAGGTTCAGAAAGTGGTCAACGACAAGTATGTGCAGTCTCAAGTGTATATGAAAAGGAACATGTGGTCTGGTGACCTATTACATCACAATATATGTACATTTTTTCTATTTTTGATTGAATATTTAGGAATTTAATGAATTATTGATTGAAACCATTGCAGATGATGAGTGGATTTACATGACTAATATATAGTCATATAAAACCGAGAAAAAAATGCCTGGTATGTACAGGCATGGAGCACCCAGCTAGCACTATGCACCCGGTGACAAGTGCCAAGACCAAGACTGACTGATGCATCAATCAACACTTTATCTATTCCTCAACGCTTCTGCTCACACATTTCAGATCATTTCAGGGTGGAGGGTGATCTTGGCCAACTGAGCTTGGCAGGAGCCAATTCACCACACCTTCCGGAAGTGCGACCTGGGGCAGAATGTACGGAATATGATGGAATGGACAACGTCGCTTACACACTTGACACAACCAAGGAACAAAAACAACACCTCCCACTTCTACTACTCTTGTCGCCTCCAAAGTGCCTTCTAAAGGAGTGAGGTTGAAGAAGCACCTCTGCGAAGAAAACAATGGTATAACTCTGTGATGATTGGCGTGCATGGTGTTTCTCCAGTCATACATGAAGTCCAGTGGCCAAACCAGGAAGCTGAACTGTTTCGGCCGCACCTGGTCTGCCTCGAGCTTCGAGTGCCTGTGACAAGGCTGCGCCCGCTAGATCTGCTGCGTTGGAGGCCTGGTCCTTCGAAGGAACAAGACCAATCTCGATGCACGAAGCAACAAAAAGAAAACCACCAAATATAACTAGTTGATGTGGCTCAAAATAGACCGCACCTAAAGGCGAATTTGGAATTTTCTGTCATTTGACCAAAGGCATTGGATTTTGCTTTCTGAGCCATCGCAAGGTGATCGATTCCGCAGTTCCTTGCCAGGCTCTCTCAGCGCTCCAAGGCCATCAGCTTTAAAATGAGCTTCAGCCTCAAATGCCGTTTGCAACACCTAAAGCGCCTTCAGCCTCAAGTTCTGTGTACCTCCAGCTCTTCAGCTTTCTCCGGACAGCTTTTTTTGACTGTTTCACATTCTTTTTTTGTGCACAATGTCAAGTTCTTTTGTTGGTCTGGCTTACCTCTGCCTCATCCATCCGCTGAATGGGCGAGGCCAACGGCCTCGGTCGATCGCAAAAGGTTCAGTTCAAGTAGCCAAACACACTGAGTTGCTGCAGGGTTCTTCAATACATCTCATGGATGGATCATTCTTTGATCTCCTTCATTTGATCAGTACGTGATCTTCGAGGTTCTCTTCGTCTGCTGTAATTCTTGAGGTGCACACCATCTTGCCACTTGCAAGCAACTGGTTCCTAGCCGGAAGCGACCCATGCCTGACCAGCACGTCTGCAAAAGGAGCAGGGAGAGGAGGCAGTTGAAGCATGGGAACTCATGTTTTGAACTCAGTAGATTTTTTCTGCCTGCCAGAAGTCTCTGCATTTCTTTTGGACCAATTGTGCCTCCTGGTAGCAAGTCATGCTGCTCTGGAGCGCTCACCAAGTCTCCTCCTCGACCCTCCTGGAGGAACCCAAGGGACCCATCTGGGCTTTTGAGACCCAAGGGACCCATGCTGACGTTGAACAAACGCTTTGCAGCTTCCAACGTTCTCTTCTTTCCACGTTGGCTTCTGCCCTTTTAGCTCTTCAGAAACCACCCAACAGACGTCCTGCCCTAGAGGTAAGAGCCCCGCGCTTCCCTCTTGAGGAGTAGAAGGCATGGCGGATGCTGTGGCCTTAGCTCATTCAGCGAGGTCTGTCCCGTCCAGGCCGACGAACTAAGATGCGGGCAGTTGCCATGGGGGCCAAAGCAGCAGGGCTGCAATACCCCACCTGTTTAAGAATAGACAAAGTAGACCACGTCAAATAGGTTTCCTAGGAAGTATCAGTTCAAAAAGACTTGTGTCCAAGCAATGCACTGACGGCATTTGCGCGTTCCACATCGGAGTTCTGGCCTGGTCAATTCAATGGGCTAAAGTCAGTGACGCAAAAGCCAGCATGCAGGGCGTTTGTTCGTGCTTCCTTTCGCGGGCACCTTTCCAGACATTTCACCTGGCCCTTCTGCTTCATGCACTTCGTCAAAGTCAGCTTGTGAGGGCAACCTGCAAAGCGCGCTCCACCGCTTTTATATAATAAACAACCTCTCGTGAATCAGTGCAACAAAGAGGCCTTGTTAAATTCCACACATACTGCTTGAATGCATCTAGTCTATATATCATATCCAGTCTATGACCTGTGAACAACTGAAATACTTAACTTGAAGGGAACACGACTTTATGTTTCATGCATCTTTCGGGACTTCTTTTTTCATGTTTTTTTCCACTAACAAGCAGTAGTTTTGCGGAAGCATAACTGGCCACATCGAGCTGTTTGGTAGTAAGCCTAGTTGGTTTTGCCGAAATATGGGGGTGACACCTTTTATGGACTCCTTTTTTTGGGATCGGCACCAGTCGGAGACTGTAAGGCCGCAGTCGTCTGCTGGACTTCTTGAGGTGCACACCATCTAGCCACTTGCAAGCAAGCATTTCCCAGTCGAAAGTGACCTGACAAGTCTGTGGATGGGGGATGCGTTTGACACATGGAACCCCTGAACTTCCAAATTGCAAGGTTGCTATAAGCCTAATAGCTTCTTGTTTCTAATAGCTTCTTGTTACTACTAGTAAGGCACTTGTTACTAGAAGTGATGCACTTGTTCCTAGTAGCTTATTGTTTCTAGCAAGGTTGTGCCAGCAGAATAGCTGTTCGAATTTGCGGTAGGCAGTATGACAACAACAGTGATCGCTTGCTCTCGTGCCTCCTGACAGCAAATCATGCTGCCCCTCAGCATTCGTGAGATCCGCGCGGCCCTCCTGAAGGTAGATGGTTGGCTTTTCGGCCGCTCTCACCCATCCATTTCTTTCATTTCGTTCAATACCAATTCTTCGCAAACCACTACACCCCATCCAATTCGGGCCTGCCCGCGAGGCGTCAGCTCTGCACTGATGTTCTCTTGAGTCGGGGTGGAAGGCATCGCCGATGCCGTGGCCTAACCAAAGCGCCGAGTCATCGTGCACAACAAATCTACTGACTGGTTCTTAGGAATGAAGTTGAATGAAGGAATGGATTCTAAGGTATCTATGGTGAGGGCTCATTCACATATTCAAGTCAGTCTATGGCCTAAAGAAGGGCCCACCATGACCCAACCAGACCGCAACTAAGGAATGGGCACTTGCCATGGGGGTTGTTGCAGCAGTGCTGCAATACCCCACCTGTTGAGATATGAAAAGCATTGCAGCCCGATGTGGGAAGTATGAGTAAGTATAAAAAGCCTATCGCACTGACCAAGCATGTCCAAGCATCGCACTGACGGCATTCGCGCATTCCAAATTGGAGCTCTGGCCTGCTCAAATCCACGCAAGTCGTCTGAACCTTTCTGAAAGAGTTTCTAAAGCTAGCATGGAGTACGTCTGTTTGCGCTTCCCTTTGGGCAGGGCGCCTTTCCAAACATTTCACCTGGCCCCGCTGCTTCATGAACTTCGTCAAAATCAGCTTGTGAGGCTGACCTACACTGGGCAATGGGCAGAATATGGCAGAATGACATACAATGACAAACATGTAGCATCTCAAAAACAACATGGCAGAGGGCACACCTTTGGACTTTCATGGCTGCAGCCGACTAAACGAGGGCTGCCAAAGAGGGAAAATGGAGGCTGAGAAAGTGACGGAACGGAGGCTGGAACACAATCAGTGTCCTCCATGACGTCCTAGACCAAGCAGCGAAGCAGCGTCTGGACGCACGCGTCCAGGTGTTTACCATGGACGCACAGGTGGAACACATCCATGTCCGCTGCTTTGGCATTTCTTTTTCGATGACGAGAACGAGTGGTGAAGTGGCCTTTATAAAATCTATAAGTTCTATAATAAGATCTCTGTGGAAATCCGGTCCCACCGAAATGAGCATGTCCGCTGTGGCTAAATGAGCATGTCGCGATGGTGGTACTTCACCTGGCCCCACATTCTCAAGGCTCACTGGCTCCAGTGTCTCCTGCTTGGACCAGTTCTGACACCTAGTCCATCGAGAAGAAAGATGAACACACTCTCTTCAAATAACCTACAACCAAATCCATCTATATACAGCCCAACGTCTCCAAACAGCCTGTGGATGCCCCTCCCAATCCAAAGGATGAAATCCAGTCCTCACTGCCTGGAGAACAAGCTACAACATGCTAACGATCGCACGGCACGACGATTTCCTTCGATCCAAGGCATCGGAACATCGTCACGACACTCGGAACAGCGACACGTGTCGTGCGAGTTCCCAGAAGAGCCGATTTCTGGCTTTCGTTGCCAGGGTCCGACTGTGCTCCTGACTGTGACTCAAGTAGCTGACAGTCCTCGTGAAGGACTAGCTCACCCTGCAGCGCTGTCTCACCACAGGTGGACAGGACACTTGCAACTTTCCTCTTCAATCATTCAATCTCTGGTTTTTCTCTATTCTGCATTTGTTTTCTTGTGGACAACAAGAAACACAACACTACGGTATGTGTGGAGCTTAAGCCAGGTGCCAGTGCATTCTCTAGCTCGGTCTTCAGCTTTAATAAGGCCATGTCTGCCTTAAAACACCAGGCCGTGTCACTTCATCCAGGCGGCTTGGTTTCTGCTTGCAACAGAACAGGTGTTACTCCTGGGCTTTGGACATGACCCACAGCCTGAAGCCACGAAAAACACTGCTGTGTCCCACGTGACAAACACAGGGTAACAATGGTGCACCAAAGCACGTGCTACATTCACATTCACTTGCGGTTTATCTGTTTTTTAGGTCACGGGCACAAATCGAGCGCTGCAAAACTACACATTTGAGCCCCTATCTCTGCAACAGCAAGAGGTCAAACGCTCAGAGTCCACCGCATCTCACTGAGTACGGTGGACCAAGTCATTTTCCGTCATTGTTGCGAGCTTCATTAAATGATCCTTTTGGCTTTCCACTTTCTTAAGGATTCATGATCCATCAGCCTATTCACATTTGTTCCATTGCTGTACCACTGCAAAGGCGCACACACTTTTTGGACAACTCCAAGCAATCCAGTCTTGACTCTTGACGGGGCGGCAGCTACGCTTCCTGGTGAACTCGCAAATCGTTCCAAACGAGGCATATTTGGAATACACACAGCTGGAATGATTGCATGTCATTTGTTTGCTTCTTGCCAAGCTGCATTTCCTTCAAGCAATGGCTGCCTGAACATGCAAAGACAGTAAGGAGAGACCCCAACTACCCAAGCTAAGCAAAGAAAAGTACTCCCCAAGAAAATCAATCAACACATAATCAACACCATCAAGAACGTCTCAAACATCAATCAAATTATCCAGTTTAAACTTCTTAGGACTCTGCCACTCTGCCCGCCTGAGCGGTCCAGCAGGCTGTCCCAGCTTCTCGGTGTAGAACGCCCTCGACCACACGGAGCACCTCTGCCCGAAGAGCACCGTTGCCTCGGTGGAGCCACGCCACGGCCATGGCGGACTGAAAAGGACACTCGGGTCTGGACCAGCCACAGAAAGAATCCAGCAACTCTGAGTACAATGAACGCCTCGCGTTCATTGGAAAAAAACACATAAACACATGAAAAAAGACACCAAAGACCGGCGTCGTGAAAGGCGAACCATGAAACATCATACAACTCTGCACCTCTCCCAGAATCTGCTCAGGATGGTCTCCATTCAGAAAGGCATCAGCCTTCGTTGTTCAGTTTACATTGATCATCTGAAGCAATGTGACTTGGTAGCGACCACAACATGAGCAACATCGCACTTACACCTGGGGTTATTTTTGCCAAGGCACGGAATCGATCCATGATGTTGGTAGCTGCCCCAGAGAAAGGAACTCTGCCAGGAAGAACACCACGGAACTGTGCCACTTCACACGATTTGCTGTGAACATCTGTGAACTGCATGGTGATCTTTGCCAAAACTGGCAGCTGGGCCTGGAGAACAAGAAACCTCCAATGGCGTAGCCGATCACCGGAAATGTCGTCTTGTCAAAGCCAGTGGCAGCCACTCCAATGGTCAGGAAAGCCAAATACCTTGAGCAGGAAACACCCACACCACAGCCAACCATGTGGGCTTCTGACATCACTCAGAAAACGTCGCACTTGCATTCCGAAGAAAAATCCGACGAAAAAGCCGATGAATAGCTCAGGTCACCAGAAGCTCACTCCACTTGGTCCAAACCTGAGGACAAACCCCGGCGACGGGGTCCGCCCAGGCGCGGCCGCGGGCGGCCAGCTGAAGAAAAAGGTCAGGCGGGTGGCTGCCAGACTTCATTGATGAGGCACACAGGCCAGGCTATTTGATGCTATTTTGCACTCTCGTTGACGTGGTCCGATTTCAGCACTCATGATTCTGGACTTCTTTATTCAGCACATTCCAATGTTGCTGATTGGCTGATTGGCATTAGGAATTGAACATCACCAACCGCGTGTGCTAGTGAACATCATCAACCCGTTGACTCTTCTCAATGAGTCCTTCTGAACTCGTTGAATTAGCTGCTACGGGTCCGTTGTTGTTCATGTATCCATTGGATCAAAAAGACCTGAGCTGACCCCCACCCTCATTGCTGATCCATTGAGTCTTTTTTCGAGCACCCCTGCAACTTCTGCAACTTCCCATCTAGAATCTAGTCACTAAGTATTCCAAGCCCAGTGCCAGCCAGCTGCCCACGAGACAAAGATCTGAGCAACGAGGAGACCCATTGCTGCTCCTGCGAGCTCCGCTCTCTCAGCTGGAGAACCCGACCCTCGTATCAATGAACTCTTTACGCCACTCGGGGCCTATCAAAAGCCGAAACCCGGCCAAGCCGACCAAGGCAGCAGCCGCTGTAAGAAGGGCAGCCTCGCTCCCAAAAGCTGGTCAGCATTCGGCCCTATGTCCCAGTTAGCGTGGCAAAAGTCCGTGATTCTTTCGTCGTAAAGGATATACAATGTACAATGATTATCTGAGGTGCTCATGTTCTGACCTCTGTCATTTAGGTCCACTCTCAGTACCACCTGCATCGTGGGGAATATGTAACAGTATGTCGATGTATGTAGTCTTTGCGACAACCTAGCGCCAAGCAAAGGCAGTGCTTCCACCGGACCCTGCCTCACTCCCAGCAAGAACCGACAACCTCGTCCGTCGTTTGTTCGGGTCACCCGGTTGGTATGGATCGACCCAAGCCGCTCTAAGGTCCAAGCAGCATGGTCTCGGTGGCGCCCGACTCGAAGAACTGAAACAGGATGGCGCCCGTCGGTCAAGTCCCAACAGATGGAAAGAAGCCCAGGAAGACTATGTCTCTTTTTAAGGCCTTAATGTCCACTGTTTAAGCGGGCTTCGTCATAAAGGAACGGATTTTAGGCTTGTTTCCCCACGGCCGTGCTCATGTCCAAACAATTTGCTGGCAAGTTCTAGTGCGTCAAAGCAGTGTGCCAGGAAGAGTTTGGGAAGCCTCATGATTGCGCGGATGTAACTTACGGTATCACATTGCACCGTCAACTTAAACCATGTGGGCATGGCGCGGGTGGAGACTCTATTCATGGATGAACCGATGATGCAGCTAACCATTGACGGCCAGAAACAACCAAAAACACTCTTTGAGAGTCTGAGAGTCTGCATCGCCTTTGCACCTGTTGCAACTCCGGCGCCCAGTGCCAGAAGAAGAACGCTGCTCCCCTGGAAAACAACACAAGGAGGACATCAAATTGATGCCTCTGATGAACGCTGCTGTGTCACTTCCGCCGGCTTTGCTCCTGTAGGAAGATTTCGCTGTCCAGGAAGCTAGCCGCTCCCAGAATGCCCACCAGGGCTGCCACAAGGTTCTAGACAGCCACGAAAAACCAGTGCAAAGGAGTGATGCAGTTGCTTGCATAATACCATATACAGAAAAGCAAAGGAAATCATAGGAAATTGAATAGCCAATGAAGATCTGAGTTAAGATTATGAGAGTTAGCATGTCCTGGCAAGGAAGACGGCTCAGCCAGCTGGCAAAAATGCCCATGCCGCTCACAACCCAGTCATCTTCCTCCAAGCAAAGACACACGAAAAGAAAATGGGAGGTTCAAAAAAGACACCTCCCAAAGGTGCCGCCTGGTGCCCTTGAGGTAAATATATAAACAGTATATAGTACATATAATACAATTTAATATATATATATATATATATATATCCGCCGACCCCGGCCTATAGCCAAAGCCTAGGCGGGGAGGCGCCTGGGACACCGCAGGGTGAAGCAGTTGGCCAAGCCTGGCAGAACCCTTCCAAGCACTTCCAAAGGCCTGTCCGAGGCCTCGCCAGCTGGCAGGCCTGCTACGGCCTCTCTGTGGCCTGTCCGAGGCCTGCCTCCTCTCTCGGCAGCTGGCAGGCCTGTTGCGGCCTCTCTGTGGCCTGTCCGA